AAATAAATCAAGATTTGTCCCACTAAAATTAAAAATAGTCCCACCTTGTCCCATGTTTTTTTTTTGTCCATGGCATGCCAAACATAAGACTATTTTTTTTTTGTATCGTCCTGTCTCATGTAGTCTGCATACCAAACGCACACTTGATCAAAAAGATACATTTATAAAAGTGTAAATCTAAAGCTAAAAGTGTTAAAACACAAAATATAAAAAAGTTAAAAAAAATAACATCTTATAAAAAATTCACGCCTTACATAAACGCTATGAATCATTTCATAATGGCGGAGACACGTTTTGCGCTATGACGTGCCTTCTGAAGAATTGTTCTTAATTAACAAAAAAAAACCAATTTTACCTTTAATTACGTAGAGATAAATTTTCTCCATTTTATAATTAAGGATATAATAACCAATTAAAATTTTACTTTTAAAAGTGGACACTTATTTTAAAACAAACTAAAATAATAATGTAAACACTTATTTTAGGACGATATGAATATTTATTAATCAACGATTTTCACTAAGTTATACTTCTTTGGTCACAGATTAAGTGTCTATATTTTTATATTTTAGTTTACTTCGAAATAAATTTCCATTTTTAATTTAATTATGAGATGTGTGTAATTTTCATTGTTGATACTTATCTTGGGGAGTGTCTTTGCCAAATTTTGATAAACTTGCAATTCACGATCCCATTAATGGTGAAACACGCTAAATGTGGAGGGAAAACACATCAACGCCATTAACAACGACTTGTAAACCGACTTACCACCACCGGGTGCGGCCGTGCTTGGAGGCGGAGGTGGCTGACCGAGACCGAGGTGATTACAATCTCCGTCCAAATAGCCTGCAAAAGAGATGAATTCAATGTTTGAATCTGCAAACTGAATTCTGAGCCACAAAAATTGGGGAGAAAATGACGAAAACACAATTTATTCCATTACATTGTTGCATGCAAACGAATTCCGGATTGTTGAACAAATTAGCAGCACGATCGTGACATTGACAATAGTGTCCGGTTCCGTTCACAACGCAATCACCGTCGCCGCACCAAACTAGGTTACAAGCTGCAAGATCCGACGAGAAATTTTGTTGTTATAACTTTCCGGCGAGATTAATTGAAGTCGTAGGAAAATATGGATAGGAAAGGACGATCGATGCTTACGGCTTGTGAAGTTAATCGGCGGTGGAAACGGCGGCGCGGGAGAATACTTACCACCGCATGAGAAATCCACAGTGCCTGCAGATCATAAAATTAGCCGATGATGTTCTGTTAACGAACGAACCATCAGATCGCCAATCTCACACACATAGATGATCATAATTCATAAAAAGTATTGAATCAAAGGCATCGATTAGATTAGATCTGGATGAGACAGATGGAGTAGAGACTAACAGTTGGGAATGATGCAGCTACCAACAGGCATTGGTCCAACCATGATGGTCTTCCACCCAGGATTACACTCGCAATGATACAGTACTCCGAGTAGATCAGGTACACACTTTCCTTCTCCACAGTCTGTATTTGTACATGCATCTGCATTTTACCAAAAACAACTACATTTACTTGATTAATTACAAGAATGATTGTTCTTTAATCAGCATTATCATTTAAAAACTAGTTTAATATCATCCGATTATGGAACGATTGATCTTTAATCAGCATTATCATTTAAAAAAACTAATTGAACATCATCGGATTAAGGGTTGTTACCCTCAGTTTCCTACCTTATTGGATAATTTATCCTTGGCCATTAAGATGGAGTGTTAGTAAGCGTCTTTTACCCGGTAAGTGTTTATCGGGTTAGAGTTTTCTCTCTTACTCACCTTGAAAGATTTTCAGTCTTTACTATGTCTTTTACTAAGTAAGATTATTGGTCCTTGTGATAATCCCCCGGTAAGCACTTACCGGGTAAGTTTTTGATAAACAATCCCTAAATAGTTAATTACAATTATGTATAGAAATTCATTACGATGAACAATGCTTATATAGAATAGTTTGTTCCACAAGCATCGTTGATAGTGGGGTGATCTTCAAAAACTACATACATACATATATATATACACACACATATATAGAGTAAGGTTTAGGGAAAACGCCAAAACTTGAAGAGAATAAGAGTTGTTATATGTATACCTTGAAGAGTGTAGGAAAAGAAAGCGAAGAGACAAAAAAGAAGTAGAAAACGCGAGTTCGAGGTCATCGTAGTATAAAAACTTGTGTGATGACTTCCCTTTGGATGGAGAAATTTGAGATTTAATTAACAAGTAATTGAAATTAATTAAGACCCTGTAAATCAGTTTTATACCCAAAACCAATGACAAATTATTGAATCTGATCATTGTAAAATTCACCAAGAATAGATTGGGGCGGGGCTAGCTATGACCTTAGCTTTTGTGATTAAATTTTACCAGAAAGAGAATGTTGTTGTTTGTGTCTGTTCAGACCACATTGATATGCCAACTGAGATTATTCGTGTTCTGAATTTGATTTTTGTTTCCAAGATGTAAAGTAATTAGTTTCGGGATGATATATTTGCAATTTTTTTCTGGTGATTTTTGGTTAGAAAATGTTTCACACTAGATATGATGGGCAATGAGACGTAGGGTCATTTACCAAACGCTTATTGGGTAAGCGTTTATCGGCAAGAGTCACTACCTTCATTTACATTATCTTGTAACATTCCCGGATATCAAAATTGATTGATGGTAATCGTTTATCACCCGGTAAGCGTTTACGGGGTAAAAGTCATCAATCTCACTTACAGGATAAGACTCTCAATCCTCGTCTTTCTTCTTACCGGGTAAGATTCTCGGTCCTTCTTGTGCTTACCCGGTAAGGTAATTGACTTCGTAAGCACTTACTCAATAACTGTATGGTAAACGACTTTGTAGTTGGTATTAACATATTATAAAAGGTGTGTTTTTTACGCGAGACAAGACGGGATATTGAGGAAACAAGATTTCATTGTTTTATGTTTGGTATGACATTAAACTAGGAAAAATTGAGATTGAATGGGACGGAAGATGAGGGCTATTGACCTGAAATGAGATTTTTATTAACAATGTAACCTTCTGACAAATTTAATGGCATTACGATGTGTTGAAGTGAACTCTTGATGTTTGGAAGTGGCATACTAAAACTTGTCAGAACTCAAAAGGTCATTAATTTACAAAGGAAATTTTGAGAAGGGCATTCAATTGACGAAACCGAGTGGGACAAAAGTTGCATCTATTTTGTCCCACCAATAATGGAACAAAACTTAGAAAGATTTGATAAAATTGGTAAATTACTAAGTTACCATGTCAAATTAAAATCCCAAGACACTCACAAATTTTCACCCACCTATGTCACTCTTGCTTGTCCAATCTTGTCATGTCTGATCTTGTCCTCGTATCATAAACATCCGAAAGGAACAGTGCTTATCGACTAACCAACGATCGAGACCAGTTGGTACATCCTAGGGCTCGACTAGGACGTTCGTCCAAAGTCCTTTTTTCATCCTCAAAGACTTGTTATATCGGGATATCGAGGACCTCGTGCATTTTGATGTTTTAAATATTCAAATTTCACACGTTTCACATAAACCTTATGGTTTAGTTAAGTTAAAGATGTCGGATATTATAGAGAAAATTCATAAAGATACAATTCACATGTAACAATCACCAGAAACACGCCATTAACGTATAGCTCAGTTGGCAAAGGGGCGAGATGACTTAGTCCAAATATCAAACAGGTCCAGGTTCAATCCCCTCCTGCCCCTGCCCCTGCCCCCCTTAGCCTCAATCTTTGAGTGAGTCAAAAAATGTTCCCTCACATTGCTATGCTTGGAGGCGGGTTTGTGTGGACCCGGTTAAGGTTGCCGGTGATCAACTTCTTGTCCAAAAACAATCATGAGAAACACGCCCAAGACCTTGTCCAACCCGCACAACATTCCATTAAGCAGTTCACGATTCCAAACCAAACACAAATTAACAAAAGTACATGACTGCTTTCTTTTTTACGGTTTCTGCCGTCCAAATTGTCTTTCAGAACCAAAGACAAATGCAATTTGAATGCATCAATAAATCCAATTAACTAAACTGCAATAACAGCAAAATGGCAAGCACCAATTACCTAAACGGCAGTTGTTGCAATAAACTGCAGCTGTTTTTTTTTAATCCAGAAACCAACAATTCAATCTGGGGGTGGATTTAGTACGATACCAGGTTTTTTTTTAATACTGTGTACCAACCAATTATAATTAGAATGCTAAATCTTATATAATGTACTAGCCAACTAATCCTTGGTGTCAACTTTTTTCGGTTGGTACCATGTTGGTACCGGTTTTATAGCAACTTCCAGTTACATATATGAAAACTTAGTCATTTAGGGAAATGATCTTAAATGAGTTCTTAATTAAACTCATGGTCTGCTGACCTATTTAATTAAAATCACATTTAAGGTTATATACCTAAAAATCTTTATGAAAACACCATTTTGTTTAATCTTATGAAATTTTTTCATGAAATTGTTTAATCTTGTGAAATTGTTTCATATAATACTTTTTTTTTGATGAAATTGTTTCACATATGATTATGAAATTGTTTCATATACTACTTAATGAAATTTTAATGAAACTGTTTCATATATTTCTCTAAAATTAAAATAATGAAGATGATAATATCCATGATTAACATTCTACACAATAAAAATAATTAATTAACCTCTCATAATTACAAAAAAGTGAACAAAATGAAAAATTATGATCGGTGGAATGAGGTTTTTACGATTTTTACAAATTGAATGGTTTTCATTTGATCGTTCCCATATATATATATATATATACACACACTTAAATAGCTCTTTAAAAAAATGACTTCCCAAAATTTTAATTAAAATCACATTTAAGATTATATATCTAAATATTCGATTGCGGGTTTTACATCAAGGGCAGACTCTTTCTGTAGGAGCAATCAGATGAAGCTTATTGGGTTAAAAGAAACAAATAGGTGAATTTAAGATCATTCAACCAAAAGTACCGCAACAAATACGCAAGAACACGACAACAAAGGAGTTTTTCACAATTGGCAACAAGTTAACAACACATTCTGCAAGAACGTCCACTTTCTTACCCATTAATAACCGGGAACAACACATAAAACAGCAAAGACAACACATCCCTGTACTTGATCACGATGAACAGAAATAGGCGACTCGCAATCTCGAGCTGATTCATATTCTTCTTATGCAGATCCAAATTCCGAAAACCACTTTTCATGGCGTTCGATATCAGATGCAGAAACACTAGGTTGGACTTTCGATATGGCTTCCTCGAAGTCGCACATGGCAATGGGATCTTTCGCGATGTCATCTTTGGACATGTTTTTAATTTCTTCGCGTGTCTTTCCAGCTATTTTACGTCGCATTCCATTTAAGGAAGCATCTCGACATACATTTGTCAAATCGTCACCACTATACCCCTCGGTTCGACGAGCTACATCACTGATGTCCACATCAGCAGCTACCTGATATATATAAACCATATCAAGATAGTTTCAATCACTCGTTCCAAAATATGCATTCACAATATTGAACACTAAACCCAAAACCTTAAACCCTAAAACAAAGTCCCGAAATCAAGCTACCCGGATATTAGGATGTTCTGGTTCAACTACTTTAAGGAATTACTTTCTTTACGGTATCGTGTAAAGGATTTCTTACACGAATGGCGATAATAAATAAGATGTTTAATTAGATATGCAATGTTCGATAGCAAAACATGGGACACTTCCCGTGATCCGGAAGTCCTTTGGGTAGATTCATTTAAACCAACCGTTTACATAAATGAGCTCCCTATTATATAACGAGTATAAAACATCTTCGGTGAAAAGGGTATGACGCTACCCTCTAGAGCGCGCTCACCAAATCCGTCCTAAGGTCATCATAAGGGAGATAAATCACATATTCCAAGGGTAAAAGAGTGGTGTCTGAAGTCAACCCTAGATGTCCCACTTCAAAAAGAGGTTTAGGGGCCATTTACCAAAAGCTTACATGTAAAAGTTACAATTCTCACTTACCTTATCGAATAACATTCCCGCCATCAAAACGGATTGTTGGCAAGTGTCTTTTACAGGGTAAAAGTCTTTTCCCTCACATATTTGATATAATTATCGGTCATCGCCATGCTCACTCGGAAAAGGCAAGTGACACTCGGTAAGCTTTGGTAACACATAGTTGTTAAAAGCATGCATGAGGAGCTCCTAGGCTCTGAGGCTCTTATCTTGCCCTTTTTTAAAGTCAAGGCTCGGCATGTGCACGAGGCTCATTAAAGGCCTACACCTTGGTTGAGGCGCCTTGTGGGCCTAGTGCGTCATAGAAAACAGAAGAAAGTAAGGGAAATTGGATTACTAGAAAGGGAAAAACGAGAGTAAGCTCTACAGAGAACTACCAGAGTCAGGGGCTCCTCTCCAGAGAATTCTCTCCTAGAACAGATAAAAATAGCAAAATAACTGAATACCCCTTATTCCCACCTCAACACTAACTTATTCCTTTCCTAACGACCTTCTGCCCTCTCTCTCCTCGTGTACACCTTCCAAACTATGGGCTACTTACCCATTTGAGTGACTATGGGCTTTTGGGCCTCAACATCAGAATTCCCAACAATGCGCCTCATAAAGGGTTATTAAATACCTAGTCAAACTCTAATATTAAATAAGTTTTCTCATCTTCTGTTCTAAAAAAATTATTAAATAGATGTCGTAAGTCAGACCCTAATATTAAATATCCGGTCCTTAGAACTTCAAGTCTTCTTCTCTATGAATACCCAGACCTTACAACTTTCTCCTTCTCGGCTCACACTTTAAACCCTTCTTGCTTCTGCCTCTATCGAAGTGTTGTTGGTCGCTGCATTGGGGCTTTTACTTGTTGCAAAATTTGAATTGTGTGCAACTGTGTGCATGTATACACACACACATTTTGATAAGATGCGCCTCGCACTCCTGAGGCCTGCGCCTCGTGCCTAGGCCCCAGGACACCTTTGCGTCTAAGTATGCCTTGAGCCTTTAACAACTCTGGGTAAACGACCCCTAAGCTTTAAAGACCAAAGCAGCAGGTTGATTCAATAACTTCTACAGAACATAATAAGCTCCTTTCTGAACTAGAATTATTATGATGGTAACATAATAAATCTCTTCATACATCTCCTCGAACAGATTGAACGAACAAAGATTGATCAGATAAGTGACTTTACCTCAACGGTCTTCAAATTAATCTTTATAAGCTCCTTTCTGCTCTCGAAATTTGGCAGAGGAATATATATTCGTTTTTCCAAACGGCGCCTACAACACCGGAATAAGCAAGAAGCACTGAATAACCAATTCCTATAGTAGAAGTAATAAAAGGCTGGAGAGGGGGAGAAAAGCAATGTTGTATGAGACTATAGGGGCAGGTTCCGTTAGCAACCTAATTTTCATTAGGAACCGGGGACTGCCCACATCGCAACACGTAGCATATTCATCAGGAATATGTACGTGTTACTCATCATGAATGTGTGATTAAATAGCACGTCCTTATTCATCATGAATGTGTGATTCATGATGAATATTCGTCCTGAAGAGGGGGGCACGTGGCACGTTGTAGGCGGTTCCCAGATTCCTAATCAATTATGTGTTCCTAACAGGACTTCCATCTAAGACTGTATATACCTTAGTGCTTCATCTATATCCCAAGGAAAATTTGTAGCTGCCAAAACCATCACTATTTTGCGACTACCATCTTCGTTAGTACCTGTGTTGTTTACACCATCTACCTGAACTAGAAGTTCAGATTTAACCCTCCTTGAAGACTCATGTTCCCCTGAAGCCCTACACATATATGAAAATAAATCATGTTTCAACAAGGATTCGATGTTGGAAGCACCATCCAATCATTTCTACACGAGAGAGAGAGAGAGAGAGAGAATGTTTGTGCAAAAGGGTTTGTAACAGGCAACCCTAAGCCGGCCCACACCACCCTGTCCTAAGAGCATCATGTCAGGCACACGTGGCTGACTATGTTTTCAACACTAAAGCCTGGCCCGGCCTGGCCCGACCTATAAAAGCCTAGGCCTTTTTTTGCACTGAAAAAGGGCTCAGAAGGCCCAGGCCCAGGCCCGAAAAGCCCGGGTCTTATTCACCTCTAAGACAGGATGGAACAAAAGCATGTTGTCCCACATCTAGTGCGGCATTTAAACTAGGAAAAGACAAGACTAAGTGGGAAAAAATGCAGTTTTTGTCCCACCAAAATAGGTGGAAGAAAAATCAGGAAGATGGGGACAAGATTGGTAAATTACTAAATTACCCATGTACATTAGAACTCTAAAACCTTCCAAAACACTTTCATCCACCAACCTCACTCTCGCCTGTCCAGTCAATTTCAGGTATATTTCAAGCATTCAAGATTTGGCGCTTAGTGCTTAAAAGAACAAACAATGCCTAATTACAAGCATACACAGATTTGACTCGACTTGAAAAGGAAAAGGAAAAACACTTACCCACGAGAAGTGCAAAGAGAATCAATCTCATCGATGAAAATTGTGCTTGGAGCATAAGCTCTGGCCAGGTCAAACAAACATCGAACCATGCGCTCACTCTCTCCACGCCATTTTGAAGCCAATGTAGCAGACGAAACATTAAAAAATGTCGTGCCACACTCGGTAGCAACCGCTTTAGCCAGTAGTGTCTTCCCAGTTCCAGGTGGACCAAACATGAGAACACCTTTCCATGGTCTCCTAATTCCCTGAAATCACTGTAAGATTAGGCCTGGCAGATCCATGGAAAAACACACAAGCAGTCTTCATGCACAAAGAAAACTATGTTGCTTGAAGAAATGCTGAAGTTTAATACACTGACTAAGAGGTCAGGTCTGTTTACATCCCATCCATCCGGACCATGCTTTGGAGCGGGATATATTGGGATTGTTTGGTTTGGTTTGGTTTGATATATACCGACTAAGCAGCATAAAAGTTCATTTGTGTTGTTCCCCTTTTGGTTTGTCGGATTGGAATGGATTTGGAGAGATTTGGTATTGAATTCCAATCCAATCCCATGTTTGGTTTGAAGGATTTCATTGAAATGCCACAAACATAGGGTTTTGAAATCCCATGGGGTTGTTGGTATTTCACGGGATTTCGTAAGATTTGTGTACTGGTGTTTTAAAATATGTTGAAAATGTTTGTTTTGTAATAATCAATTAATAAAAAGGTAATTTAATTATTTTTGTAATTTGTTTCTATAAATTATTTATAAAATGGAATTCAATTCTATTCCAAAATCCTACAAACCAAACACATCAAAGAATCCAAATCCTTCCACGAAATCCAAATCACTCAAAATCATTCCAATCCCGTGTTTGGTTTAAAGTAAAGTCAGTAATTGAAATCCTGGGATTTCAATGAAATCCCAAAGAGACTACCAAATGGGTTACCGGAAGAGTCCAGCCTCCCCAGAAGGTCAAGCCTTCAAACCTCACCAAAGGTAAGGAGTGGGTGTGAGTATATGTCTTCTATATATATTTAAAAACACATTCAAACCAACTACAGACCTGAAAGTAATCAGGCATTAATAAAGGTAGAACCACAGCTTCCTCTAGAAGCCTTTTTGCTTCAGTCAGCCCTGCAACATCTTCAAATCTGACTCCAGGGGTGTTTTCTAAGACATCTCTTTCAAGCATTGCAGCCAAGTCATGATCAGGCCCCTCATACTGCCCACGTTTCGTCGTTGCCTCTTCAGCATCTCCATTCTAATGATTGCAATGCAGATATTGAAATTAGATCCAAAAATCCTCATATTTAGATCAAATACCATAACAGTGTAAAACTCCCAAGCATTTTATAGTTTGACACTCCCTTTGCAAGTCAATATAAATTTCTGTTGTATGAAAGATATCAATAAATACTAGATTCAAACTATTCTAGCAAGTTCAATAAGGTGCGTTTGGTACGTGAGACAGTACAGGACTATAAGAAAGATAAACTTGGTGTTCTATGTTTGTTGCGACAAATTATACTAAGGGGTTGTTTGGTTGGTTTTCCATTTGTTCTGTATGGATTAATCTGTCTGTATAGATTGGGAAGGTTTTTGTTTGGGAGAGTTCTTTCATAGATCGAAGGAGCGTGTTATTTAATTGGGAGGGACAGGTTTGAAAAAAAACTTGGCTTTCTGCAAGCTCTACCCTATAAGCTTACTGAATAAGCCACTTTCTATATCATTAAGCCTCTACCAACATGGGCGGAGCCACTTCGGAGCCAGAAGTGGCCTTGGCTTCCCCTCAAACTTCAAAAATAAAATTTGATACAGTTTCAAACCTCAATTATCCACTTGAAACTTTATTTGTTCATATCAAATTCTTCTTTTTCTTCCTTTATAAATGCCAAGTTTTAATGTTTTATGTAGGTTTTAAAATAAACACGATACTTTATTGAATATACAAGTTTTTTTACGATAAATTTCATTTTTTTCAGAGGTCTTTTCTTACTTATATGATTATCTACACAAATCTTGTATTTTTTTTCTATAAGTACAGACATACTTACGTTGTGTAGGTTACTAATGTTTTTCAACTATTTTTAGAACAAGTATTTAATTAAAAAACATACATATAACGTTAAGCCACTACAAAACAGTCATATATAGCTGTCGAATAAGGTGTGAGTCTTATTAAGCTGTTAACAAACAGGCTCTAAGATTGGACATGACTGACTGGGACAAACATGCATTGTTTCTGTCCCACAAAAATAGGTGAACAAACATTAGGAGTCTTACCCCACCCCACCCCACCCCCATATATAAATAGAGAAGAAATTGCTCACCAATAAGAGTGTATTTAACCTGATTGCAAGAACAGTCTAACAAATTTTATGTGAACAAAGAATGCTATGCAGACCAAAGGGTCATCGGCCCAGCGGTATCCGGATTACCAGTAGAGCCCGGCCTCCTAGGAGGTCAAGTAATCAAACGTTACCAAAGGTGAAAAGTGTGCGTGAGTATTTGCCATACATAAATATTACATACTTCGGAAAAGAAAAGCAATGATATGCGATGAAACTTACCCCAGATTCATCCTTGGCGGAATTTGGCCTCCCTGAGCCCGTGCCCTTTTTCCCGTTAACTGATGCTCGAACTCCCGAGTTAGCCCTACCCGAAGCACCAGTTTTTCCTCCACGAGCCGTTGCTCCACCTCTGGTAGTAGAACCCCGAGCCCAAGCTCCATCTTGTGGTGACTTCCTTGTAGCCCCTACTCCACCTCTTGCAGATCTTCTATTCGAAGTATCTCGACTAGGTGGTCTCCAAACGTCGGGATCATCCATTGGTGCACCAGATGAAGTTGGGTACTCATCCAATGGTTCAAAAACGAATGATGATTTATTCGTAGATATAGGAGGTGAAGTTGGCCTTCTACCCACAGAAGTATCCTTGAAAGACCTCTTCTCGGAATCCAATTGCTTTACAACTTCAGTCTCCTCTGAGAGAGCTTTCTTTACGTTCATCCATTTTGAACGAACCAGAGGATCATCAAGTGAGTTCAAGTGCCTAAAAGGAGAACATAAATGTCTTGGAAATCAAAACAATATCCGAGAAGAAAGGTTGATATCTCTGGTATATTATGCAGAAACATAAATCTCTATTACAAGCATTATTCGTGTAATAAAACCAAACAAAATGCATAAACTCGTTTACTCGACTTAAGGATGAGAGAATATGTGGAACCCTTTAAGGAGAGAAGGGAAATTCCAACATATACCGAGGAGAAATGATCTATATCTAGCCAACATGGGACTCCAACTGTGCCCTTCAATGGTAGCTAAACGGGCACAGATTGTCCTAGAGTGTCAAGAGGGGGCTAGACGAGTCAAATTGCCCCAAAGTGTCGAGTCCCTAAGTGGTTGACCTTGGCTCTAATACCATGTGACAATATGTGGAACCCCATTAGATTACTCTCTAAAAGAACCCTTGAAGAGAGAGCTACAGTTCCAACATATATTGAGAGAAAATGCTCCAAGTCTAAACGACAAGGGACTCAAACACATATTGTCTCCGAGTGTCGACTGGGGGCTAGACAAGTATAGATTGCCCGAGAGTGTCGAGTCCCTACACTGGTAGACCTTAGCTCCAATACCAAGTGGGAATACGTGGAACCCCATTAGATTACTCTCCAAAAGAACCCAATAGGAGTGAAGGGAATTTCCAACATATATTCAGGAGACATAGTCTAAATCCAACCGACGTGGGATCCCCAACATGCCCCCTCCAACGGAGGCTAAACGGGCAAAAAAGTGTTGATAGGGGGATAGACGAGTACAATTTGCCCCAAAGTGGTCGACTCCCTGTGACGGTAGACCTTAGCTCTCATACCATGTGATGATATGTGGAATCCCATTAGATTAATCTTCAGAAGAATATCGAGGATAGAATAAAAGGGAAGTTGCAACGTATATCAAAAAGAAATGGTCCAAGTATAGCGGGGGCTGGACTCCAACAAAGGAAAACTTGGTGATTGCTTTTCATGAACCAGATGATCAACTAGAGTAGGTATAATGTTCCAAAACCTTTTGCCTTTCCAACAGATCCTCAATGGTTAATCAGTATATAAACTTCTGAAGGTAGATATCAAACAAATCGTTAAATTTCAACTAAAAACCTTCTAATTCTTCATAGAGCTAAACCTAGTAACTCGATTACAATACTTAACGACAATGTGCTTGTTAGATATCAAACAAATCGTTAAACTTCAACTAAAAACCTTCTAATTCTTCACAGAGCTAACCCCTACTAACTCGATTTCAATATTTAACGACAATGTGAATGTTATTGAGTGCATAATTGAACTGAAAAACAAAAGAGAGAGATGTGGATACTTGTTGATCTGAGCGATGGCACCATCGAAGAAGATGACGGAAGTATCATAGAGGCCTTCAACTGCATATTCTCTCGCCAATTTCAAATGATCTTGTACTCCTGCAATCGACGCACCTGCCATCTATAATCAATCGTATTGCCACCACAAAAAAAAAAGGTTAAATCTTAGGGTTTTTCTGATCACTTCTTAGGGAAATTGATTCAAATGAAGTGATGAAAACAGAAAACACTTTGGAAGACCTTCAGACGAAAGAGAAACAAAATTCAAATCTCCATTTGAATGTATATAAAGTAATTGAACAAATATGGTAGTTTATCTGTGAGTGAGGAAGAAGAGTGTTAAAGGGAGATGACGGCGACGGTTAAACGGCTCGGAGACGGAAAAAATTAGATGTGCTTTCGCAATCGGTCTTTTTTGTGGTTAGTTCTTGCCTGTTGTCCACGTGTCCTTGCAAACGCCAATCAACGGCTACAAAATTATCCATTTACATGACACCTTTTAACGTTAGAACCCTCCCTACTTCTTTTTCTAAATTTTTTATCTTTTTAAATGTACTAGTTGTGTATTCATACAATGTGATGAAAATTGTGAATTTTAATGATTTTAAAGTTTAACTAGTTTTATTAGAGAAAATTTAACGATAATATAAGTTACACTTGGTCTTTACATATTAATACAATTTATATGGTTTTAATTACAGTCTATCGATTAAAAAAATCGTATGACAGTTTAAAATCTAACATATTTAAAATCCAACATATTTAAACGACTTCACAAATATATTGGATTTACATCAAGAGCAATTTTTTAAGAAATCGAGAGTGAGACCAAGAATTCTAAAGCAATTGAATAAGACATGAATATAAGAACTTTTAATAACTCATGGTGAATATCAATTTGAATCTCACTTTGGGGGATGAGATAAGACATAGAGGTATGAGAAGGTGAAGACATGAGTGAAATGTGTCAAAAGTATCTTGGGAACATGAAAAGAAAAATGTAATAATGTGCATTGGCAACTTGTACTATAAATTGTCAAAGACCTTCCAGCCTAATGGTAAAGGTTTGGGCATGGCATAGTCATGAACCCAAGTTCGAGCCCTGGGAGGGGAGTGTTGGCGACATTTAAGTGGGGCCATGTTTAGCCTCCAAATTTGCCGGGGATTAGTCGGGCTTTGGCCCGGACACCCTTACAAAAAAAAAAAAAAAAAAAAAAAAAAAAAACCTTATACTATAAATTATTTTAATTGTAGATTAAGAGATTTTAAGATTAAATGCATAAAGTAACAATACTTAATGCATTATGAGTTGTTTTTAAGACTTTGTGCATAAATGTATAGTATTTTGTGCATTAAAAATTGTTTTTGAGACTTTTGATAAATCTGATTTATAAGGTAGTATAGATTATATAAAAAAAAGACCATATTGTCCCTATATAATAAATATGTGTTTTATCGTACATTAGTTTTTTTATAAATTTACATACATCTTGAACTCCCAACTTTCCATATGTTTATGGTAACTTTCTTAGCTTCACTTTTTCTTAAATGTATTTTGCAATCTAGGTTATCCCCCAACTTTCTATATACTAATAGCCTTTGTAACTTCTTCTGCTATTAAATTGCAGCTTTCTCCTCTCTTAAATGTAATTTTAATAAATACATCTTGCAATATCGGTTAAACTAACGGTCTCCTATGAAATATGTGAGGCCAAACAATCTCCAATGAAACCCTCTGTCCCTCGAAAGGTCTGTTGTTTTCTGATTATGTATTAAGCATATCAAGTGGATCTACTTCAACACTGACTTTCTATTTGATCGTGTTTCAAACGTACAAGAACTATTTTTGTTCGTTTATGCATACCTACAGTTTCAATATTCGGTAAGCAAATAATTTTTGGACATACACCATTTGTTGGATTAATTGAGAGTGTTAGTGGTATATTCTAACAGACCTTTAGCATTTGAAACGCTTCTTCAAATGTAAGTCGTAAGGTATTCTGCAAGTACTACACATTTAATGATATCAACATTGAATCATGAAAATATGTGATGAAAAATATTACTCCAAATCTTTTATTTCACAAATGGAAGAATAAGGGTTTAAACTATTTTCAAAGGCTTGAAGGGACACTGATTTCGAATAGCTCTAACTCTTTTTGGCATTTTTAATTCAAATTATCAAGCATTTGAGTAAAAATATGGTCCATGATGTACATTACCAATACGAATCAAATTATCAAATTATTTTAATATATTAAAATAATATTAAAGTATTTTTAAAAATTTATCAAAAATAAATAAAAAAGAAAATATTTTTTTAATATAGGACTGGTTTGGACCCAGTTTGGGACCGGGACCGGTTACCGTAACCGTTTATAAGTACCTTTAACCAGATCTAGTATTTTTTACATGATTGGAACCGGAACCGGTCCGAATTATTACTAATTGACCCCGAGATTGATTTGGACCTGACCCAACCCGTTTCAGACTGATTTTTGGTCATGTCTACGTAGATGTGTCAAATACTCTAATTATTATGATTTAATATTTTTTTTTCCGACAAATGTGATTTAAAATATTTTGTTTAAAAAAAAAACTTGAATCTTATTAGACAGTTGGCAGTAGTCCAAACATCCCCCAAAATCCAAAAAGATAACTTCAAACCGTTTCTTGTGGCGTCCCTCTATATCTGTTGATCCCACTCCAGAAAGCCACTGTGGGAGGACCATGAGTAGCTCATCAATGGCGGTGGTTATGGATGCTTTGCATCGACCATCGAAACCTGTGCTAACGCCGTCTTCATCTTCAACCTCAGCCTCACTTGACCGGAGTTTTAACTATAATAATCATCTATCGAGCAGGTTCCTTCCACTCCCGATAACTACCACTAGCAGCTTCACATCACATCGCATCACTTCTCAATTGCCCGTCCAATCCTCCAAATCAGGTATACTGAATGTATTTTACTCCAGTTAAACCTTAATTTTCCACCATTTTTTTGGAGATTGTTCATCAGTCATCGTGTATAAATTTTTTCGTACTCCTGTTGTTGTTTCTTCTTCTCACATACATGAGAAATTGTAGTTCCGTACATGATTGATAATGTTCGTAAGTAATAGATACGGCGTTAATTGCTTTGCATCCATGGTATTATGGTGTTTTGTTTGACTTCTCTTGTCCGATGGAAGGCACATTCAAGTTTCAAATTAGGTTTATGAGTTTGGGTACTTATTGAGTTGTGTGTGAGGAAACTTTTGACCAGTGATTTGATCACTATGTTAGAACAATGTGATTGTTTTAAATTGCTATGCCGTCATGATTGGGATCTTTCTACCTCACACGATTTAGTTCACGGATGTTCAATCTTTAAGGCTCGCGTTTTTCTGTTTTACGTGGTTTCAAAGCACAAACAATTAGAATCAAATTATCATTATGTACTTTTTGTAAATTAGTGTTGTGAACTGTGAAAACATTACAAATTTGTAATTTATAATTGTATTTTACAAAATTTCTAAACTGGTTTTGGTTTTAGAAAAAGTAAACATTTGGCAGGCATTGTTTTATTCTTTTAAACATAAACGTGATAACAACAAAAAAACAGAAGTTTTGTCAAAATGACTTGTTTCAAAAGAAGTTGAAAGGTTTAGGTGCTGATCAGACTTTGGTCCTTGAGAGGAAATTTTGTTCTCCCATTAGGCATTGTTTAGAGATCTCAAATCTTATTTATGAGCCTCTGCAAAACCAGAATACTATCTGTCATGGGGATGCAGAATGGATATTTAATGTACCTATGTTCAGAATATGCTGCTATTGTTGTAGGGAAAGAAGCAACAAATTTAGACAGAATTAGGTTGCTTTGGCAGTGGAAGTGCAAAAGTATTCAAAACTGGTGAAAACCAAACATATCAAAGTCTTTACAAGTGGATGCTGATGGTGCATTAATGCACATCGGCATTGATTTTTGAGCCGGTTGATCTTTATACTGCATCTTCTCTTGTATATCTATCTCCGAAATGGCTGAGACATTATTAATGCAGGTCATGGATGTTCTTGGATGCAAGACAACTCAACCTATAAGGATATTGTAGTCAATAATGGAAGGAGGCAGGGTCCATTTCGTTCTGTGTTTCCATCTACGCCTGCAGAAGTTTCCTCTGTGAAGGATCTCTTCGAGTTTATATGCTCAGGTCCCCTTATGGACAAACTTGGATTCACCCAAGAGACGGTAGCCAACTCTATAGACAAGTGGCTAGAGAAGGGATTTCACGTGTGTCAATTGTTTAACCTCAATGAGCTATACCTGACAACACCCCAGAAAGCTAGAATTTATCACTACTATATCCCTGTCTACTTGTGGTGCGAACAGCAGATATCTGATCACAGGTCCACGTTCAAAGAAGGAGATGATATCCCTCCTTTGGTGGTATTCATCTCATCTTCTAATTGTCCCGTCCTTGTTTGTTTATGACAGTGCCATTAAGCACAATAGGATATACTTCATAAAAGAGCGCAATAGTTAGGGAGAAAAGATGTTTTTAATCTTATAAAGAAAAGGATCTTTATACTCCCTCTGTCCCAAAATAAATATCCACAATAAAAAAGACATGCAGTTTTAGAAATTTGTAACTACTGCATTTTTAATTAACTAAATGACAATTTTATCCTTAGTAATAGAGGGAATAATTAATTTTTCCATCTCATAATTAAGGGTTAGAATTGGAAAGTATGCACTTGCTTTTCTAAGTAGACACTTGTTTTGGGGCAAACTAAACTAGAAATGTGGACACTTGTTTTGGGACAAACTAAACTAGAAATGTGGACACTTATTTTGGGACGTAGGGAGTAAAGTAATGATTAGGTGTTTGATGTTAAAGTTCACTACGTGAGTTTATGGCAGTTTATTGTCCTGATTTTATGTGCCGTTCTCAAATTGCTTAAGCAGCCTTCAGATATTTGCTTGAATAGTTTGCTAATGCAGAATAAATAAGCTGTCAGGTGACATCCTCTATTGTTATGCAGATTGGCTTTAGTGCTCCACAAGGTTGTGGGAAGACTACACTCGTCTTTGCTCTGGACTATCTTTTTCGAACTTCAGGGAGGTAGAGTGCAGAGTAATGTACATTTTATGAAATGACGATATGCTTATGGTTGTGAATTTATAATAATCTTGAGGAACTCAAGTATTTCTACCATGTTATATGTATCAGGAAGTCTGCAACTATATCCATTGACGACTTCTATTTAACAGCTGATGATCAGGTAAATACTCAAAGGGCGGAAGTTGACAGGAGAACTATAAATATGCAAGTAGCATGCATTGGTGCATATTTGTCACTAAAATTCATAGTGCATATGCATCAAAATGCATATTTGGTTCTCACGGTCCTCAAAATATTTATGGTTCTCATGGGATCTTTTCCCTACCCAGGGAGTACCTGACCACCTATAGTGTTCATCTTCTTCTGTTTTCTTGATTTATAATGTAGCTTAATTTTGTTTTAGGCTAAACTGAGAGAAAACAATCCTGGCAATTCTCTTTTAGAGGTACGATTCCAATTTGCCCTTTTCTTGAAAGCAGTTATTAAACACAACAGAATTGGTGTCACTTTTTAAGTAACTAGTTCACAGGAGGCTTTTTCTTAACCCACAGTTTCGTGGAAATGCTGGAAGCCATGATCTTTCTCTGTCTGTTGAAACACTGACAGCTCTGGGGAAATTGTCTAAAGAAGGTGTGACACTCATTCTGTCCCAAATGTTCATCCTATCTTTTGCTCAATCACAAATTCTAAACTAAATTTTGGGGCATAAACATTCCAGGTTTGAAGATGAAGCTGCCCAGATATGATAAAGTAAGCACCAATGTTCGTACATATATTTCTAAAAGACTTCGTGTCGATCATTGCAATTATGAGTTTTAGATTATCCTCAATGCAGTCTGCATACAAAGGTAGAGGTGACAGAGCTGATCCCTCCACATGGCCTGAGGTTGAAGGACCTCTAACGGTAAGCGAAACTCATTAAATTGAATGATATTTGAATGTTCAGATGCTATGCACAGCAAATTGCTCTTGGTTGTCATTCCCCATTTATGTTGGTGTAACTGCACATACCACCAGTGTGATGAGATAAACAGGAACAAAATCAAAATTCTTTGCGTTGTTGTTGCAAATTTAGATCAATTACTTTGGATAGACATCAAACCTTCAGTTTATCTGCGCTTTTTACTAAATAGACAAGGGTTTAAGTTTGAATTTTCTAATAACCTGTGATGTGACTTTTCCCCTCTTTTGTCGTTTAGGTAGTTCTATTCGAGGGTTGGATGCTTGGTTTTAAGCCTGTTCCTGGCAAAGTGGTCAAAGCTATCGATCCACAGGTTAGGGCACCAAGATCACACATATTACTTCTGTGAAATCATTAAACATGGCTTGACAATTCATCTGCAGCTAGAAATAGTGAACAAAAACCTCGAGGCTTATTATGATGCATGGGACAAGTTCATAAAATCATGGATTGTCATCAAAATTAAAGACCCGAGTTGTGTCTACCAATGGCGGTTACAGGTTTGTCATCATCTTGACGTTCTCCTGCAGGTATTTACAGTCTCTAATTGATATAATTTGGGAAATTGTTGCAGGCAGAGATTGCCATGAGAGAAGCAGGGAACCCTGGGATGTCTGATGAGGAGGTCGGCTTTATTATATTCATCTCACTTCACATCATGCTAATAGTATGTGTTAAGAGTCCAACATCAGGTTCCAACAAATATTGAGGATAAATGGTCCAAATCTAGCCGACACTCTCTAACTATAACATCCCCGGCCAACCATACTAGATATTGTTCACTTCATCCATACCTAGACTCACGGATTTGAAACGCGTCTGATAGAGGAGGTATTCAGTCCCTTATAAGGCAACCTTTGTTCCCATCCCCAACCGATGTGAGATCTCACACTAACACGACCCTCCAATGGAGGCTAGATCGATAGAGGTTGTCTTAGACTATCGAGAGGGTGCTAGATGCGTACAAATCGCCCTAGGGTATTGAGTTTTAGAATGGTAGAAGTTGGCTCTTATAACATGTGAGAATAATTCCTCTCCAAAAGTGCCTTTGAGGGGTGCATGAAGGTTCCAACTATAGAGGATAAATGGTCCAAGTCTAGCTGACGTGGGACTCTAAGGGTGCGTTGGACAGGACATAACAGATAAAATAACTAATTTACCCCTAATGAGTTGTTTATATATTTTATATATCTTTACTAATTATGTAATATTAAATAATAATAAAATAAATATTTTTTATAACAAAATATATCATTAGAATTTAGAAAGTATTCGTCAAGACAATTAAGGTGACACCAAAATGAAAAGTTCATGTAGTTTCAAATTTTAATTCTACACCTTTTCTATATTATTAATATTTAATAGATTACATAAATTAATCAAAACATAGAAACCATATAGAAATCATATTTCGAGGACTAGAATGCTACCTCCAATTCCCTGTATGTTCTCCGAAGTCGAAGGACTTCATATGGGCTGAGGACTTAGTATTGATTCATGCAAAGATGGTTGAAATACCAGAAATGGTATTATATCGTGGGGATTCAGACCGAATATTTGCGTTTGATCCGATACGGCCTGTTTTGGGCGGTAGAACGGGGAATCTGAGAATTTTTTTAATATCTTAGGTGGGCCAAACCTTTAATCTGGTAAAGTGAAAGTTTAAAGAGCATAAAATATAATAAATAAAATTTAAAAAATGAATAAAATGTAAAGAGGAAGATGCATTTGATGTTTTAGAAGAGAATTAAGTTTTATTTTGAGGTCACATTGATAAGACATAAGTCTGTTCCACCTTGTTCCATGGGGTGGGGGTGGAACACGTCTGTTCCACTTTGTTCCACATAGAAGTCCTGCCAAACATGGAACAATGATCCCTATTCTATATTGTTCTGTCCAGTGTACAAAACGTACCCTAACAGTATGAATAGGCTGCATACTAACTTATCTTTTTTTTTTGTGATGGGAGTTGCAGGTTATGGATTTTGTATCAAGATATTTGCCAGCATACAAGGCATACCTTCCTACACTCTACACGGAAGGACCAAAGGGATCAGATTCTAAGCGCACACTTGTTGTTGAAATTGATGAAGAAAGAAACCCGATCCTTGCTGGCTAAATAGAGGTAACTACTACTACAGATTCATTGTCTTACTTGGTGTTCATAGTCTTTAATTTGTATATTGGAAAAGCCTACATGGTATAATAATAATTCAATTTTTTCTGTCCTATTCTAGTGTAAATGAAAGGTATGCTACTTACACACTGCTTAATAAAAGTAGTTCTCTCTCTCTCTATATATATGGGTTCCGGAGAGAACAATTATTATGGTGGGAACACGAACTTTTATCTACTTGCATTCACATACCTTCTTTTACCTCTGCATTCCTACTTATATCAATGATTGAAACTTTAACCAATTCATTCATGTGGGTGTGACCGAAGGTATGTGATTAAAGGTGAAGGTGGATGAAGGTCCGTGTTTTTGTGAGCCATCAGATTAAAAAACTAAACCAAAGATTTTAGAAGTGTTCTCACCTGATGCCAACACTCACTCTCCCTCTCTCTCTATATATAGACAATTTATTTTACAAACCATAACCAATGTTTATATTAGGAAACATTCGAAATATTTATGAAAAATTATCATGGTCCAATAACTATGATTGTGATATATATATATATATATATATATATATATATATGGAAGATGCATGGTGTTAGATTAGGAAACAAAATGGAATTAGATATTTATTGAACTAGATGGACGACTAAGATTAGTTTGTATGGTTTGTTTCTAAAATAAACCTCCTCTCTAAACTTGGAGATGGAAGTCTTCTTTCGTTTATCGATTGTGAAGTAAGACCAAACAATATGAGATGTCCCGTAATAAAAACCAACGGATAATAAAACCAGTTGTTGTTGATACCTTCTACCACACATTGTCTAACCAAATCAAATTCTCTCTAGATACGTTCCTCAAAAAATCTCTCTCTCTCTCTCTCTCTATATATATATATAGAGAGAGAGAGAGAGGTTTAGGTTCATGGAAAAAACGCAAAAAAAAATAAAAAATTAAGGAGCACCCTAATAACCATTCATCTATCCGATATGCATATGTACAACATGCAGATATGCATATGTACAACATGCAGATATGCATAGAGACCAGGAAACATCTTCAATTACTTGTATGCACATAGAATAGTTATTAACGTGTTCCTTTGTTTTTCATTTGTTGAGGTTTTTTCCTGAACCTCACTCTCTATGTATATATTACTCTATATATATGTGTGTGTGTGTGTGTTTGTGTGAGTCTCTTCACAAGCACCATAGCAGTAGAAACAGTATGTAGGCACATACATCTACCTCAAATTAGACATGGCAAGTCCAGCAAAGATAGCACAACTTAGGAACTTTAATGAAATTAAGCATTTGATCAGTACAAAAGAGAGTTTTTCCACAGATAACAGACAGAAAATGAATAAGAAATGCAGTCTAGGCAGCAACTTCTGATTTCAATTATATGGGACTACTTGCAACAGCAACAAGCACAGTCCAAACAGCCTTCACATGTCTCGGAACAGCAACAGCAGCAAAACAATGTGAAGAAGCTGCATCAACATATATGAAGCATTAGAAATCTTTTATTTAGAAATGTGATTTAGGGGCCGTTTACCAAACGCTTACCGGGTAAGCGCTTATCAAGTGTTACTACCTTCCTAGGGAGCATGAAATATTGCGAAGACCGATGATCTTACCGGGTAAGTGTGGGAGAAGACTCGTACCCGGTGAGTGCTTACCAGGTAAAATACGTTTACCATCAATCTATTTTGATGGTCGAGAATGTAACTCGATAAGGTAAGGGAAGGTGGTGTTCTTGCCGATAAGCACTTACCCGGTTAGCGTTTGGTAAACAGCCCCAAAACACTTTGGCATAACCTCCATAGGATTACGAGCTGACAGCATGCTTGAAAACATGGAAGCGAGGAACATTTTGGGGCCGTTTAGAGCAACTCCAACCTACCAATAACCCTCTAAAACACCAACTTGTGGGCCCTCTCACACTAAAATACAAAACCCTCTCACACTAAAATACAAAACCTCTCCAACCGCACTGCAAAAATCATCCCCTCCAAAACACAACTCTCAAAAAGATTTACAAGAAGTGAGCGATATAGCACGCCATATTTGGCATTCTTTGTTACAAAAGGCATTTTTACCGACCGTTTTACTGGCCTGTTGGAGGGTTTTGACCGGCAAATATAAAGTTGGTAAGAGTGCTGTCTGGGTAAGAGCATCCATAATGATGCTTATTGCAAAGCTTTTTGGAAAGCTTATTGGCCACATGCTTGTGAAAAAGCCTCTTTAACACTGAAATTGAAAAAAAAATTCCTTGTGTAGTTACAAGCTAGGTTTTCATGCGGGTCCCACCTTTTTCTGGAAAAGGCTCACCCATTGTAAATGCTCAAAGCATTTACCGAGTAAAAGAGTTTTTCCTTCCTTACTTGGTCAACATCTAGATCATTTGTCGGTCAAAGTGTACGTAAAACGTCACCGTATGTTATGAAGTAAGGCAGTCAGCAGTTGGTAAATAGCCCCTTAGAGAAAACCAAACGAACTTAAAAAACAGGGTCTAGGGGTAGAGAGGCGGGTTTTTCGAGATGAACATTTAGAAAAAAAGCCATCAAGTAAAACCCAGTTTTAAGAAGGTGTACAAACCAGGCATACAGACAGCCCCTTTCTTCCTTGGTCTTTTGCACAGATTGATTGTACGACATCTCTTGTATCTTTGGAGCTTCTGACATCTTTTGGTGTGTGTGGATCTGGTGTTTCTAAAGGTAAACCAGTGCTTGTAACATTAAAGAAACAAAGGAGTAGGAGGATATGGGTATAAAGAAGGGTGTGAACATAGTTAATGAGAGTGGTAGTTGGTGGTTATCAACCATAAGTAGGCATTCGGTTTAGCCCCCCACCCCAAATGTGTCTTTCACTAAAAGTTAATAGCAAAACACCGTGAAAGTAACCTTTACAGTATTTTTGCTTTGAAGGTTGGATTTTTTTTACATTCACAGTATTTTACTGTGAACTTTCAAGTGTAAAAAAATGGTTTCACGTGAACCCAATCCTATATACATATATATATATATATATATATATATATATAAGGTTTAAGATTAAAAGAGAACTCTAAAAAGTAAAAGAACCAAAGAATCCATTCAAAATGTTATATTGAGATGATGTAACGAATGTGGTAAAAAAGGTGGTTATAATCACCTTTTTTAAGAAATAAACATATTTTCCTCAAATTTTTAACTAGAAAATACATTAAATATAACATAAATTGGAGTGAAACAAAATACACCAAATAAACGATCACTTTATTATCTTTAGCTTGACATTTATTTTCATATATTTTTCATCCGTTTTTTCATGGTTCTCCGGTTATTTTTTCAAGGCTCTCCCTTGATCTTTACTCTATATATTTAGGCCTGGTTTAGGTTCCGGTTAGAATAAAAGTAATAGGGAGAAGGTAAGAACAAAATATTCATATACCTTCATCTACATTCACGTACTTTTATTTACTATTCTTATCATTATGAATGAAACCTTAACAAATTCATACATGTAAAAGTGATTAAATGTATGTAAAAGTCCGTGAAAATGACTTAAAGATAAAGAAAAATTTGAAGAAAAAGGTAGATGAATGTAATTGAAGGTAATGAAAGTAATTCAAGGTAGATGAAAGCAATTGAAGGTAATGAAAATAATTGAAAAAAATTAAATTAGATTAAAAAGTCAACTCATCTAAAGGCTCAGAATTGTTTCCACCTTTTCACGATAACTGTTATTCTCACACGATCCATCATCATATAGACTTCACCAAAATTTACGAGATCTACGAAAATGGTTTTATTTAGATGGGTTTTTTTCACAACTACTATCACTAAGTCAGATTTCTTCAATGGAAGTTGAAGATTACAAGGTGCAATTCAAAAGGAACAGCAGGAGGCCAAATACGTATACGGAATGCTTGACACGTGTTCTTCATTAAGTGACAATTTCACAAAGATTTTTATTGTGTCCAAATATTTTTATCTTTGAAACTCACACTCAAACCAGTCAGGCACCATCTTTGTGGTTTAAACTGTTCCTTACGATCTAGGTTGTGGCGTTTAAGCCTCAGATGGGTGTAGTGAAAATCTTTTCTTTTACGGTTCGAAAAAGCCGTTACTATCATGAAGATTAATTACGCATTCTTGGTTGTTTGAGGAAATAGTTGGTTACACATAAGATGGTCTAAATACCAAATGATTACTCCAAAAAAATGTTATGTTTGATAAGAATAATCTAGCTTATTGAAAAGCTCTGTTCTGTTAGTCATAAACTATTTTTTTGCAATATTATTTCAAATAACATTTCAACAAACTGCTATTGGTTTTTTCCGTAACTTTTTTCAATTATATATCTATATTTTTTCAGATTCTTTCGACATGCTTTTATATATAATATTATGTTGTCATATGATTTATCTACTAGTTTTTATCAAACATGACTATTTATGAGTCAAAAACTTATAAGCGAATTTGTCAAACATAACCCAAGTTAAATGCAATAAAGATGGTCAGGTAACTTTGATGTCTCGTTGCACCAAACACGATTTCAAATCAAAGGTGCACGTTAAATTTTCTATGTGGAATTACTTGTTTGTTAATGTAAAAAAAAAACTCATTAATGTCACAAGAGCAAGATGAGGTTTGGAACTCTACTCAAGAGGGACGTCTCGTGAGTCGGGCTTTTAGAGATAAGGCCTTTTGGCAAGGCCAAGTCAATTTCCGACCACCGAACCCTACAACTGCTGAAGAGGCCCTATGGTATGGAGTAAAGGTAAGCGTGTACGCTGCTTTACAAGCGGTGTTTCCCTTCTTCACTTACGCAATATTGCTGGATCGGACTCTTCGATGGCATTTCATATCGAACTATGCAAATATGAATATACAACTTTTTGGGTTAATTGGTAAGAAAATGAACCATTAGTATAAATTATACAAACCAATTTCGGTCGTTTATCTGTTTATCTAATCTAATAAATATTTGTTTCAATGAATATTTTGATTATTTCATAATATAAAACATTCGAATCAATAATAAATAAACCCTGATAATATTTCATAAATATCAAAATCATTATAAATAAACTCTCATCATTCTTATAAATATTTTAATTAATTAAGTTGTATTTTGTATTAATGGTTGGGATTTATAAAAGATCTCCCCCCTTTATAAACCACCTTCTCATACATGAAAACCCCCAAAGTTAAAACATGGATCCAAAACGAAAACCTCACGTGTATAACATCGACTAATTAATGTTATATTGTGTTTTTAATATATTTCCTCTACAAATATAAAATCTTAGCAGACTGCTCTCCTTCGAGCTAAATCAGCAAAAAGATGTTTCAAAAGACGACATTAATGCATTACACATATTACCCGGCCCTTCCTGACAAATTAAACCAACACTTTTCTTCAATGACTTGGGGTCCAACATTTCACAAGTGTAGTTGGGGCTGCATTGTAGAAATTGAGACCAACAACATATCATCAATGGCTTGTTGTCGATAAAATCAACTCCAAAACTAGTAACTAAAAGGGAAAATTGATCAAAATAGCAATTCTGTGCAACTCAATTCACTTTTTAGCCATTTTATCAATGTGATTTTTGTTCTTTTTTGTGTAAACTTCATTTTCATTTTATCTTTTTTTGCATAATTTGTGTGATGAATATTTTCTAATTTGAAAATAGATTATACACAAATGTACAAGTTAGTTGCGTAAATTTCGGTTAAAATTGAAATTTGGTTAGGAAAAAGTTGATATTTTAGTCAATTTCTCAATGGGTAAATTGTATGAAAAAGTAACGTACTTTAATTTGATTCCTATTTTGGATAAAGTACTTCTAAAACTTCTATTTTTATATCTAAGATGTAAAATTTTAAACATTTAAGTCTTTGGGGTAATTGATTGAAACATTAACCGATTACCATGCTGATGTGGTGAGTGACAAGATGAATTTGGGTTGAATAGCAAATAATACTAAGTTGGATACCACATCACTCACTATATCAGCATGATAACCGGTTAATGCTTCAATCGGTTATCCAGGTACTTAAATGTATAAATCGTTACATCTTAGGTAACAAAATAAAAGTTTTAAAAATACGTTACCCAAAATATAAATCAAGTTAAAGTACATTATTTTTTTTATGCAATTTACCATTTTCCAATTAAAGAGATGAGCATAGTATGTACCTAGATGGTTAATAGCCTCCGAGCTTTTCATTAACCTTATCCGCTTACATGTTTCAACAAACATCCTTCAAAAAGACAACACAAAATGGGTAGTTTTTTCAAAACAAATAAAGCTTCAAATTAATCAACTTTCAAAGGGCAAACCTATGGGGTTTTTGGGATTGCTTGTTTAAAACAATTTATTATTTTTTACAAAACCTCTTATAAATTTATCATAAGTTAGAATAATTTAACTTTTTCAAAAACTCTTTATTACCAATTTAACACTCTGTTTATCTAAACACTCAAAAATGTTTATTATTGGTGTTACATTAGAGTAAGCCAATAAGTTATTTTTACAAGTAATCTCAAACAGCCCCTTAAACAGTGAGTCAAATTAAAGAGTGAGTCAAAATAAGAGATGGGACAAGAAGAGAAACTAGAAGGAAAATGTTTAGATTATGTCTTCATAAAAGTAGTCGGATAACGTTTTCCATATATGTAGTTATTGAGAGATCCAAATAAAAAGTGAAATATTGTGAAAATGTAAGAAAAAAAGGTTAAAAAGAAAGGTTAATATATGAATTATTGAAAAAAAACTATCAGAATAGTTTATACGTAAAACTTTGTATCGCCATTTCACATTCAAATCTTCAAATAGATTTTTTCAACGAATTCATATAAACTTTTTTTCGTACTTTCTAACAATATTTAACCTCTTATTTCATGTAGTTGAAAATAAATGTATGTACAGATATATGTATATAATATATATATATATATATATATGTATATAATATATATATATATGTATATAATATATATATATATATATATATGTGTGTATATATATATATACATATCATGTAGAGAGAGAGGGGCTCAAACAAAAACAATAACTAAATAACAAAACATGAAAATGGTCAAATTATGTGCAAAATCACCATGCTTTTACACTAACGGTTATTGCAAGGGTATGAGGACGATGTGGCCGCAAAGTCGCATAAATCGTCCGTGATTTGGTGTAAAATCATATATAATTCGACTGTTTTCTTATTTTAATGTTTGGTTATTGTGTAAGCATACTTACTTCCATGGAACATCACCAAATAACATCCAATCTCCATCCTTATCTTCATACGTTGGAACATGCTCTGATCTATTTACATGATTCATCATCTTCTTCTCATTCAACACATTGCCTGTAATATTAAACCTCAACAAGTTAGCTCGCACAGCTAAATATCAAAACCGAATTAGTAGATCATTCCACGACCAATATAATGTGTAATAGCTACTTACGGATCGTGAAGCAGGAAAACATCTCTTCGAAAGCACAAAGAAGCTGTTGATAACCTGTGTATGATTCTAGGTCTACTTTTCTCAGATACGGTGCACCATCAACCGCCACCTTTACGTATTTGCAGTTACTCTTCATTATGTTCTTCCGGTACGATCGCACCGGCGGCCATCCCACCACTCGCTCCCTGTAACATCATCCAGTTAGTTCACGATAGCTCTTACTTTCTCTAGCTGTATATACACACACACACCCCTATATATGACCAGCAAAAAGTAGCATATCGAATCGATCAACTTACTTTGAGCGAGGTTTTCCGGCGTCCAAATCCGAGCATTTGCCATCGGATTTATCTGTTTCTCGATCTTCAAAGCTACCTAGTTTCAAATCAATCACATCTGAAAAATATCGTTTCATTCCGGACTTTCTATCTCGTGATTCGCCTGGTAAACCTAAGGTGAGCTCGATTTCTTCAAAATCAAGGCCGCTGCGGCAACCGGCGGCGGTTGATTCCGACGTTGCCGTTGACATTTGATCGGAATGAGTCTTCAAAGATCTAATCTCGAACTTCCGATGCTTTTACAGAGATGTAGAATGAGAATGATGAAAACGCGTTGGTGTTCGTATAGGCTGTTGAGCGATGGGTTGATTTATACAGGGGGAGAGCAGGAACAAGTGTAAGTGTAGATTAACACGTGTCGGTCGATGAGTGGTTATCACGTTGACATCATGAAATCGTGGGGGTTTCTAGTTTGGTGTACCCCTTCAAGGTGGTCACAGTTTATTGACACCGTCTCTTCATTTTCTTGTCGGAAAGTGGTTTTTCTATAAATTTGAAACAATTTTTTTTATTTTTTTAAAGCATCTTCAAAATAATTATATTATAAAAAAAATAATGTACTTTAACTTGGTATTTATTTTAGATAATGTATTTTTAAAATTTTAATTTTAGTATTTAAAATGTAAAGTTTTAAACATTTAAGTGTCTGTATAAACAGTTGAAGACTAATTTTTAAATTAAAAAAAAATCATTTCACTAGTCACGTTAACAAATAACATTGAGTTGAATACCACATTATTCGTCACATCAGTATGATAACTGTTAATGTTTCAACCGGTTAATGTTTGTAACTTTTTATAACCCAAAAAATATATAATATATAATTTAAAACATTACATCCCTAAAACAACCAAAATACCCCTAAGTCGAATGGGTGATTTTTAATAGATTTAGTACCCGGGATTAAGGGACTGTTTACCAAATACTTACCCGATAAGTGCTTACGGGTAAAATTTAACACTACTATTTACTTACCGGGTAAGATTTTAGTTCACCAAAACGACATCGCATGTAACAATTCACACGGTAAACGTTTACCGTGGTAAGAGTCGTCGCTCTTACTTACCGGGTAAGACTTTTGGTCCTTGTCTCGCTCTTACCGGGTAAGATTTTTGATCTTTACCATATTCATCCTGTGAGGTAATGTAACTTAGTAAGCGTTTGGTAAACGACCCCTAAAACAGCAATAAATTACCATTGGAACAAAAATAACAATAACTTACAAACTATAAGGACGAAAATAGTAATTTCAAAATCACAGAACAAAAACTACGATCTTTCACAAACCACAGGGACGATAATCATAGTTCTCGATAAAATAAGTATGGAAAGTTAAATCTCTAAAAAAAAGTTACATCTAACACCAATAACTGATTGGTGGAAAAATTAAAAAAAAATTGAAGAATTTTACATTTATTTTCATTTATGTATTTTAACCTACGTTATAACATACACGTTGGAGTAAGAAAAAACTCTGAGGACAGTTTATCAGTTGCTGAATAATTTGGTGTAGAATGATTAAGAGACTCTCATGATATAGTGCAAAATGAAATATAATTGTTTGGTAATTGTTTACAACAAATTAGAGCGTTGAATGGTTAAGAGAAGCCTATGATACAAAATCATTTAGAGGATTTTATAACGATTAAGAGACAGACTTTTTTTTGCCAAACAATATTCATCTCTTAACGATTCACATATTGTCTCTTAATGAAACTATTAAGAGATAAACAAATAACCCCTAAAAAGGATCAAAACTTAAATTATAACATAACACTAGAAGATGTTTTAAATATTTAACCACTTTTATTAACATAAATATATTTTTATTTAAAATTATATCTTATAAATAAATAAAAAGCTATATAACTTATATACAAAACCAAATGGTGGTGTATGATTGGTTTGAGTTTGACTTCAAAGGTCAAAGTATCAGGAGGTCTCAGGTTTAAATCCAAGGAAGGATAAAAATTCTCTTGTGGTCGTGGGGGTTCAAATACGGTGATTCCAAGCTATCAGCAAAACAGATGATCGTCATGAGATTAATCGACTCGCATAACGGATTGGATATCCAGGTTAATAAAAAAAAAACTTAAATACAAAAACTTCTTTATTTGAATTTAAATCACCGCTGAGTGAATGATTAAATCATGGGGTCAGAGGTTGGACCCACCGACCAAACACAAGATTGTGGCGATGTTTGTATGCTATTTAACGTAGGGGCCATCTTTTCCAGACCAAATGAACCCCCAATACGTCTGCTTCTCATAAATAACTTACTTTTAAGTAATTACATATGAATGCAAAAGATAGGGGAAAAAATTACAACATGCATAAATGATTCACATGTAAATTATTGATAAATTCTTAAAAAACTATTTGAATATTCATATGTGAATCTAAGTAACAAGTTTGGTTGTAAAGGAATGGTGATGACCAAAAATTGGTCTCAGGTCGGTACTTATCGGTCTCGGGCCTTAACAGATCCGGCCTCAAGCGGTTCTGTGTCGAAAAAAGTGAGTCCGGTTAAGCTTATATATAGAGAGAGATTTCTTGGGATAGGGTGGGGCCGAAGATTCGAACATTTCAAGGTTTCAAAAGCCTTCAAACCGAAAGGCTAAGGGGTAAGATGAAGGAGGTTGCAAGGGTCAAAACCGACCATATAACCATCGTGCCGTAAAAGATTTGGTCATGTCATATGTTTTGAATACTCGTTATACAATTCCAATTATATTTCCATCGTAGGGTAAGGAACTCAGTTCTAAGAGCATCTTCAATATGTATTATATATTATTTCTCTTTTTTTATGTCTACAAAATTCTTCATTCTCTCTCCTATTTTTTAGTCTATTTTATATAAGAGTTTAACATAGCCATAGGAGAAACTATTCATAAATCTCTAATATTTCTAAAGGCTTGTTTGTTTTTTCAAAATTGACTCTTAATACTTCTGAAGTCTGATTCGTTCATACGTTTTGAGTTTTAAGAGCGTTTTTTTTTTGAATTAGAGCTTAAAAATTTTAAATGTCCTCTAAAATTTTAAGTGGTAAGTGTATCATTTAATACCTCTTAATCTTAGTCCACGCTCTATCAAATGGTTCATATTTTGAGGGCTGGAAGAGATTTGTTAGCAAAAACTATATATCTTTTATAATTTTGTAAAAAACTATTTATCTTTTATATTTTTTCACTAATTTGACTGAATTCAGATTTTAGAAGTAAAAACAAACAGTATTACTAATTCATATTTCAAACTTCAACATCACCACTTCTAATCAGAAATGAAACCAAAATTCAAACTTTAACACTTCATAAAAAACAAGTTCCACCTTTTTTCACCATCTCTATTTTTTTTTCCAAATTCCGGTAATATTATGGTAGACTTAGGGGCCGTTTACTAAACGCTTACCCGGTAAGTATTTATAGGCTAATTTTTCTCACCGGATGAACATGGTAAGAGCTAAGAATCTTACTCAGTAAGAACGATGGTAAGGATGGAGAGTCTTACCTGGTAAGTGATGGTGACGACTCTTACCCGGGTAAGTGATGGAGAGTCTTACCCGGTAAGTGATGACGACGACTCTTACCCGGGTAAGCGCTTACTAGGTAAATTGTTGCATGTGATACGTTTTGATCTATTACAATCTTACCTAGTAAAATAAATTATAGTGTTAACTCCTAACAATAAGCAATTATCGAATAAGCATTTAGGTAAACAACCTCTTAAATTGTATCAATTTATTCAAGAAAAAACCAAACTATGCCAATGAATAATTAATTAATTTAATTAAGTCGTATTAAAAAAAAGTAAGTCGAATTAAAATTTAATTGATTTAATTGGTTGTCGGTCTTCCAGCATGCGACATTCTGGGGTCTTGAGTTCTCTAGACACACAATCAAATCGGTCTTAGATACGTCCTGACCATAACACTACGCACTAGCGATGTACGGTAAAGTAACTCTATCAATTTTATTATAAAATAATTACTAACTCATTTATACTATCTTATAAATCAAATTTAACAAAAGTTTTAAAATCTTAAAATACTAAATGATGAAGATACCATTTATATCACTTTTTCACCCCCTTATCTCCTCACATACACTCACCGTTTTTTAAATTATAATTTTAAATTTACATTTTATACCCCTATAATTAGTTAATTAATTTACTTTACGTYMTTTACTTTTAAATGTTTCATTTTAAACATTTATCAAATTAATATACATAATCGTATATCAATTAAAACATGTTTAAAAAATATATTTTTATTTTAACAAGTTATACCATTATAATCGTCTCGTTAATACCTTCGAAATTAATCCAATATTGAATAGTTTTTGACTTAATTATATTATTATATGTTATATATAATGTGAAAAAATATTTTTAATATTTATGATTTATACTTTTATAGTTATATATATATATATATATATATTATGTTTTGGGGTTAGGCTGTCCAAATTGCACTGTATAATATGTTCTTGGTTTTTTTTAATATATATATATATATATACATGTATTAATTCAACCTTAATCTGAGTTTCTGGACAAGAAAGAGGGTAAGCAGTTGAAATTTCATTCTAAAACCCATCTTTTTTGGTTTTTTCATGGCTTATGATCTGTTAAATTTGTAGTTTTATTTATTGGTTTTGAGTGTTTATCTTAAAACTCAAGTTTCTTGGTTCTTTGCTCTTGGTGTAAATCGAACACTTTTGTGGAGTCGTTTAAATATGTTTGATTTTAAATATATTGGATTTTAAACTGTAATACAATTTTTTCATCGATAGTCTGTAATTGGAACCATAACTCTTATTTATTCAAATTGTATTAATATGTAAAGACCAAGTGTAACATATATCATCGTTAAATCTTATCTTTTAAAACCAGTGGAACTTCAAAATCGTTAAAATTCATGGCTCCCGTTGCATTGCGCGGGTACACAACTAATTAAAATTTAAAGTAAACTATGATTTTCTTCTTTTATAGTTTGTTATTTATAACTATTCCAGTCTAAAAGTCTTTAAAAATTGATTTTTTTAGTTATCATCTTTTTTGTTTTATTACTTTTCATTCAAAGCCTGGCTAGCGATCAGTTATGCCTACGACATGGTGATGTGGGTCATGCATCGAGCAATTCACGGTGATGTGGGTCATGCATTGAAGATCAAAACTAATGAGATGCGCTAAAATGCACCAGATCAGTTCCTTGAGAAGAGCAATTCATGGGATGAAGTGAGATTAAAGTGATCAAAGATCCAGATCACTACTTATACTTCTCACTTTAACTCTTATTATCACACAATCATTTGTCTATTAAGGCTTTAGTAACTTGTACTAAAGGAAAAGGTGAAAGAAAATCGGAGGAGAGTGGGGGTTTACTGAAATATTTGAAGGTGAGACTTATGGTTGGACGACTTTTACTCCTGTTTCTACTGGAGAAATTGGACGTCGTTAGTGGTCAGGTTCCACTTTCAGAGCAAAATGCATACTTAAAAGATAAAAACTCGACTAATTAAAGTTTATGTTCCATTTTTGAAGATTTTATTAAACCTTAGGGACCAAAATTGTAATTCAATCATTATATGAGCAATTAATGAAATTGGATTATAATCAATGAATGCACACTAATGTGGCTGAGGGGACATGTATGTTCCAGGTTCCAACATGTTCTTTCTGTTTGCCAATATAATTAAATAACCATTTTCTTTAATTACTTGTGTAATTTTTATTAAAATAAAAGTAAAATATATTTTAAAAAAATTATTATTTAGAATATGGTTGTCGAATTAACTGATAAGATAGTCGATATCTGATAAAAATTAGAAGACAAGCAACTTCAAAAATGTAAAATGATCAAACATCATATGTTAAAAATTACTCAGTTATAACATTACGTAATGTAATTTAACACAAATTTCTAATAATACAATATATATATATATATATATATACTATATTATAAAGCATTTAACAAAAACTATTAAAACTATTTTTTATGCATGAAATATTGTTTATTAATGTATATTACTTAAAATTTAAGATTACAAATAAATTGTACGTAAGTACAACTTATTAAAGTTCTATGTTTGAATTCGTGTAACAAACTGCAGATAAACATAATCAAATACATGATAAATATCTCGTTTTTAAAAATATAAAAAATTTGAAATTTAATTAGGATAACCATAAGTTATCGGGTAAATTATTGCGTACGATACTGTTTTGGTAGACTAAAATCTTACACGCTAAGTAAGTAATAATGTTAAATTTTACCAATAAGCACTTATTGGGCAAGCTTTTGGTAAACGACATCTTGGTAGCAGCTTAATAAGTTGTATAGAATGTATGGCTTATTCGGTAAGCCATACAAGGTTGTTCGATTGTGGCTTAGTGGCCGGGCTATTACTAACACCTTCAGACTAATAAAATTGGGCCACAAAGTAAGTATACAATATGGTTCAATATCGTATTTCCAAGTAATAAAGTGGTACAAGTATCGGATTATCGTCCACGGAGATTGTAGCAAAAGTCTAATGAGAGTCCAATAAAAGAAAAGATTTCAGATGACGAAAAATGAAGACTTCAGGTTGATTATGAGTTAACACAAATAATATAACAGAATAATAAAGGTAGCACGGGTGTAAGATTTGAGGTGAAACGTAAACACAAAATCCAGCGGACAAAATCGTAGAAGAACTAGTTTTCACCATCTATCTTGAAGGTATTCGTCTCGGACTTCACCTTTGCACTATATTATAGTTTTGCACTCATATATCTATGTGGTGTTCAAACCAGGGATAGTAACAAAAAAGTGTCTTCAAGATATATGGCTAAACAAATCTCTTTGTTAAAAATCACTCTTTCGAGCCGATTCCCATATCATTCAAGTTGGCGTGTTCTTGATAGTTCATCTCTGAATATATCACACTTTGACACTTTTAGAGAGTGACCAACCCGTTGGGAGTTAAGTTTGAAAAACATAAATGACAAGTCTCCTTGTCGGTAACTTTCTCAAGTCTACCTCTTATATCATTCAAGCTGACGTGTTTATCAATGACTTATCTCTAAGTCCATGACACTTTAACACTTTCAAAGTGATCAACTCGTCAAGAAGTGTGCTTGGTTTTATAAAACTTGAATGAAATAGTGGAACATTGTTATTGCGAAACAACGTCCACTTTCATTCGGTTTAACATTTCACCATTTACCCTACACCCGAGCTAATGGAATTAGCTACTCATTATGGAAAGTAAATGACATAAAGTAAATACACGAATGTAAATAACTGAAAGTAAAGACGGAAAGTAAATGACGATAAAAGTAAATAAATAAATAACTGAAGATGAAGAACAATTTTTAAATAAGAACTTAATAACCTGCATAAATATAAAACTAATAAAGGTTTAAAGTGTTTGAAGATGGAAAGCACAAGATGAGAAAATGTTCGGGGGATGGTCTAAAGAGGCATCCAAGGCTCCTATACACACAATAAATACTAAAGGCAAAGGAAAGGACAAGGGGATGATCTAAAGAGGCATCCAAGGCTCCTATACACACAATAAATACTAAAGACAAAAGCAAAGGAAATGACAAGGTACACATGAAAAAACTTGAAAGGAGGCATCATCTTCATCACAAAAAGTCATCCACAAAGTCTTCTCATATCCTTTTAAACCAACTATTAGAGAGCAAAAATCGACAGTTCCTTTAGCTAAGACTTCCTTCTTGACAATGACTGAACTATTAAGCACCTCTCCAAAAAGCCGAACCGGATCAGGTCAATGCTACTGGAATGCTGCAGCATCATAGTGCAGTATTTGTGAGTCAAAAATGTCATCTACCCCCAAGTTGTTGTAAAAACAAATCCATCACCGCATTTAGCTCCAAACATAATAAATGAAAAATAAGGAAGTAAAAATGACTCAAGGTTGGGATAAACTAGGAAAATCTACCTATTAAACAAAGAAAATTGGTACTTTAAGCATGTAATAAACCATGCTTATCACTTAGTAAAACAAATAATGACTTATTTGGTTAGCTGGTAAAAGGGTGTGGTTTGCATTCAACCCTCATTTTTCCTTTCTTGCCCTTATGATTCACATTGCCTCCCTTCTCCTTCCTCAGGCGTGCCTCCTTGAAGAAGATGATGGGTTTGTACCTCCTTGCTCCTCCTTTCCATCTCTCGATCTCTCTATCCCTCTATCCCTCGTCCTCCATCTCTCGACTTGAATCTGAAGCTGCTGGTGACGAGTTCTCTTCTCGTGTTGCTGAAACGAGCTTTCTCTCTATCTCTCAGATTTCAAACTGGGTTTTGCTCCAAACTCTCTGTCGATCCATTTCTTTCTATTCGGAAGAACGAGGATTTAGGGTTTAAGAATGAGGAAGAAGTTGAGAAAAATAAGTTGGAGCCGGTGCAACATCCACAAGCGGTGGATGATGGCGATGTTGGAGGTGGTGATGAGAGCAAGTCTGAGAGCAACAACGGTGTTTCAAGTCTTTGGTGATTCATTTGAAGACGTTCTTCAAATTTCTCAACAAAATCGTGTTTTCCAACTTTGACGACGTTCTTCAATAACCATAACTGATTCGTCTTCTTCCTAAACAGATTTCGCACGGGTTTGTTTCAAATATGACCGCTTAAAGAGAAACTACAGAGCTAGAACCAGACTCATGAATAATGGGGTTTTTTTCTAATCTTTTCAGACTCAGAAACAGTGGACTTGAGGTGTTTGATAAAATGATACGAAGAAAAAAAACTGGGGGTAAAATGGTCATTTTTCTAACATTTTTATCAAACTATTGTTTTATTTAGACAAAAATAAAGACTGAGGTAAAATGGTCATTTTATGACATTCAGACTGTTATTTAGCATAACAATCGAATAACAACTTATCTCTTAATATACAGATAACTATATCAATACATGTCTTAACAGAAAACGAATCTAATAGCCCCATGTTGTTTAATAAGTCTAACCAAACAAGTATAACCAAACATGAGTAGATAAGCAGGGGGGGTTAAACTACAACAAATCCAGTTAGAATTTAGAAACTTGAAATCATGCCCACCGGAGACTGATTCACCCCTCCCGCCTGTTGGTACCATTACCATACACAATTTCGAATTCCTATTGCATCTTCCCTAGGGTTTCTGTTTGAGCACGAAAATGCAGAGATGACTCAAGCGCAGCGATTCAATCTTGTTGATCCGTTTCAAGGACAGTCAATTATCTCTCTACACCCTCGAACTTTTGGTGATTCCAAAGATGCGCTGAAATCCAAAGACCTGGAAGCTATTCACCAGCACATGAATTCAATGGTTAAGTTTTCGCTTATCTTCAAGCTCTTATTACGATTCATCTTTAATCAGTTATAAACTGTGCAAATTTTTGTGTATGGCGATTTTTAGGTTTATGAGGCATTAGATTATTACGGAGTTGAGTTCATAATTAGTTAATTACACTCTATCAGTGAGCAAATAGTTTGAGGAATTCGATTATTTGGTGTGAAACGAAGACATTTAACTTCCAATTGACGAAAATAATTTAATTGTAGAGAAAGTAAACAAATCACACCTCTGCTTTACTCTTTTTGAGCATTCATAACGTGGAATTTTAGTGGGATAGATGATGTAAAACAATTCGATACATGCTGATATAAGAAGATCAAAACATTTATTGTGTCACTTAAGTTCTATAGGAATTCGTTGGCTGTTTATATACAGGTTAAAGAGCTTAGTGGTTTGGGCAGCTTATTCGCTCAGCCATATAGGAGTTTTTCTTTACGGCTTAAGCCAAAACGGCTATATGGACTAAGCCAGGACCCATCACTTGTCCCCATTAAGTCACCTCAAACAAATCAATACCAGAAATGCCCCAGGAATTGATCCAATCCTCTCTCTTTGCCTCCCTCAGACCCATCAGTCTCCCGTCCCTCAGACTGACAAATTTATCAGCATTAAAGGGCTTAATGGAAAAGTAAACAGCCCCTTAACCAATGCTGACTTGTCGGAGGGATTTTGAAACAAAACTGTAAATTTATTATGCTCTTATTTTAATATAGAGGAGTATTAATTATTACAATAGAGGTAATTAGGTAAAAATTTGAATTGCTGTGTAGAGCATACATTATGTCAAGTGTATTACTAAGTGATCTAAATTAGTTATTGTGTCTTCACTGCTTAAGGCATTGCAATTCTCTGATAAGCATTTTGAGAAAGCAAGGTCAATTGTGGATGGTGGCTCAGAATTCATTAACACCAATGAAAGTGAAGCTGATACAATCGACAAGGAAAACCCTCAGGCGAACCGACCAGCTTTGGCCCGGAAACGTGCTAAGTTCTCTTTGAAGCTGGATACAAGGTAAAGGTTATACATTCTCGTGCTCTCAATTAAATATTTTGTCTGGAAACTTGGGGTTAGCTTAACATGCAACACTGTTGACAGCCAGCCTTCTACAGTCCTGGAACCAAGTTTTCAAATTGATCAGCTGCAGGATCCAGAAGAAATTTTTGCAGCCTTTGAGAAGTTTGAAAGTACATTATTCTTCTCTAATCTTTGTGATTTAATGTTCATAGTCGAAAAATAGGCTTGCATAAATTTATTCATAGAGAATGGTGCCTTTAAATAGGCACTTAACAAAGAAGAAAATGTTGGGTATTACATACCGAATGTTCAAGAGTATATACAGAGAATTCTAGGTAACTAAGGCAGCATATAATCATTCTAAATATAGAAACTATATCAAATGTACATCTTGGTTTCCTATTCTAGAGGGATACTAAATAATATACAAATTCATATTTTCTACATTCATGATGTTAGTTAAAGTCACACAACTAATTTATACCATGTTAAAATTGATTTCCAGATGCCAGAAAAGAAATGAAGAGGCAGAGAGGCGGCGAAGACCTGAATGAAGCCAAAGTTTCTACTACTGCTAGGCATCGTCGACCTGAAATACCACGGTATTATCGATATGTTAAGTTTAGCTTTTCCTGCTGAATTGCAACATTTTAGAAGTTTTGCCATATGAATTAGTAATTTTTCATGGTGTAACCTTAAATTCATTCTCCAGGAGAAAAACTAGTTATAAGCATCATGAGTACTCCAGCCAGTCTAAAAATAACACATCCTTTGCTCAAGAGTCATTGCAAGACAATATTGGAAGTCCACCTGCTCTCTCTTTGCAACAAGAACCTGGCACCCCCAATTGGGAATCCAAGGAAGACGAAGTATCTGGTGAGTTGATGCTTTTGAAATTTAAAAATTAGGCACATCATAAAGTACCTTTGCGATCACTGATGTACCTGACATAGTTGGAGAAGTAAAAAAGGCACTTGATCAAAAATTACTCCAAACAATTAATAACCAATGGTTCCATTAGTATGCTCACTTTTGATCTGGTATTTCTTCCGCATATAAGTTTTAAGTTGATGGCCTCCTATTTTGTTTATATACACAGTAACTTACAAGATATATTTCTTTTTTCTTTTATGTGAACAGGATCAATAACTAAGAAGGAGGATAGACTCAACAAGCTAGTTGATGAATTAATGTCCAGTAATATCGACGGATTATATGGAAATGAGGCTTTGTCCTTTTTGAAAGATCATTTGAAGATCAAACCTGTTTATATAAGCGACTTACGACTTCCTGATATTCATGATATCCATAGACTTGATTTCATTTCTCCACCCAATAACTTAACAAAAGGCCAGAGCATGTTGTCTGGTACACACGCTTTACCAGATGCTTTAAAAGGGCAAACACTTGGGAAACAGAAAAAGTTATCTGACAACCCCTTTCATTCTCTAGATTCACCCACGCCACCTAGGAGTCCATTTTTGGCAATTTCAACATTTGGAAAACGTATGTTGAAATCAATCGAATCAAATGATCCATTCTCTGCCCATGATATTGATTCGATTCCCACCACTGCTTCTACTGAAATCATTGGCGGACACTCAACTCATGTCAGCAAGGATAAGGAATTCCCAGTTTCAGGCACACTGGACTCATTAGCAAAAAACAAAGTTAGAGAAACTGCCATTGATGTAACACATAAGGTTTCAGCTGGAGCTTCGATTAATTCTCCCGAGTCTGATAAGCTTCTCAATGATAACATGAATGGATGCTCTTTTACCAGTCTATCAGAGTCTCTGATTGGCATGGAGGACCGTGATCAGTCCCATAATATGGAAGAAAGGGATGTGAATGACAATGAAGTCGGTCCTTATGTAGCAACTGATATTCAAACAGATGAAGGCATAAAGGGAAATGTAAATGCTCATGTCATATTCATTATCTTTTCATATCTTCGAACTCATGAATTGAATACCGTGGACTGTGACTATATGCAGGCTGAAGATGCGGTGCAAAAAGCGGCATCTGTTACACTACTCCATTTAAATTTTGAGGAGATTACTGATAATGTTTACCTCCAATGCTTACAAGACAGAGAGGAGAATGTAAATTCTGTTTACCTGCTTTTCAATAAGCTTTTTGAGGATTGATAGAATACTGCTACTAAATGGCCCATCTGTTGACATAACAGGTTGGAGATATGACAGAGAAGGCAGGATCATCCGCTTTACCAGAAGTAAATGTTGAAGTTTCTAGGATAGAGGACTTAGGAGGCCATCGGAGTCCGTCAGGTTTATGTTCTGACCTTTCTCTTGCTGATTGTATGCTTTCTATATTGCTGAACTAATCACTGTATACACGTTAAGGGGCCGTTTGCCAAATGCTTATCCGGTAAGAGCTTAGCAGCTCACTTACTTTACTGGGTGAGCATGACAAGGACCGAGAATCTTATCCGATAGAGAAGACTCTTAGCTCAAGCACATGCAGCCAACCATCTGGGTGAAACAAACAATATTCTTAGAAATACATGCAGCCAAGCATCTGGGATTGAGCTACAAAACTAGAAGTTCAAGCTTGTGTTTATTTTTTATTACGTTTTTTTCAGAGAGGAGTACCTGGAATTTTTAATATTATTAAAAATATATGCGTTTTTTTCTTTATTGCTTGTGATATAACAATCTCAATTTGAATAGTTTCACTCTATTGGCTGATGACTACATCTTTAACTACTTTTGTCAGCTCAAACAGGCGCTAATTCTATCGAAGGCCTTGGTGCAAGCGGACCTACTCAAGATCCTGATATTGTTCCTGAACAACAAAACGAGGTTTTCTCAGTTTTTCTTATTTTTAGTTCTTTTATCAAGAAGTATTACTAGCTGTAACGTAATAGTGCGTAACATTAACTCGTATCCTTCTTGACACAATATTTGCGTCCTTTGGGTAAATGGCGTATGGTGAGTTTTTAATTAGGAGAACGACCTTCTAACTTTTTTTAGCTCAATGACCTTCATCTGGCCTTCCCCTGGTTAAAAACAGACCTCTCGTGGTTAAAGATAGCTTGCTTCCTTAGGGTGCATTTGGTACACTGATCATACAAGAACAAAACAAGGATCACTATTTCAAGTTTGGTAGGACTTTTGTGTGGAATAGACAGGAACAAAGTGGGACAAAGTGGAACAAGCGTGTTCCATCCCCACCCCATGGAACATGGTGTAACAGACCTATATTTTACCAACATAACCTCAAAATAAAACCTAATCCTCTTCTAAAACATCAAATATGCATCTCCCTTTACATTTTGTTCATTCTTTTAAATTTTATTTATTGTTTTTATACTCTTTAAACTTTCATTTTACTATCAAAATATATTTTTATACCGTTTCTATAATTGTAATAATTTATGTAATATATTAAATATTAATAATAATTAAAAATAATAT